TTTTCTTGCACAAGAAGGGGCAGTGTAGACAGCTCCTTCTAGCGCAAGAGCCTCTTCTGCAAAAATGGCAGCTCATTAGGTATGCAAATGAGGCTCGGCGATATTCCATGCTTAGCCTCATTTGCATACTTCTGGCGCAACAACCCGCCAGGGTAGACACAGCCCTAGTGTGGTTCACTGTCCCATGCAGTGGCACCTAGACCACAGCAACAGATAAGAACAAGAGACCTTTACAGGATGAGCTGAAAGGTAGCTGGCATTTAGCTCAAAGGGTAGAGGCTCCTATATTAAGCTAAAGCTCCATGCATTGACTTCCCATTGAAATGACTGACTTTGGCGGGATCCCCACAGTCAGCATTCTTCTAGGATCCTTCCCCAAGAAGATCAACAGTAAAGTGAAACCTCCCTCTATAGAACTTCTTCTTCCTTCAACACTTCAAGTCAAATTGCAAACAATTTCTTAAAGGCCCCCAATCTCTTGTTTTCGGCGGGACGAGAGGAGAGTGGTCGACAGCAGGCAGAAGCTCTTCCCCAGCTGAAGACATTAGCAGAAGTTACTCCTTAGTAGCAGGACTCAGGAACAGTAGCTGCATCATTAACTTCCCTTCTGGGGCTACACAACCATGAAGAATTCCGCTGTGTGATAACTTCCTGTTTCTGACCCCTGTAGTGCACATGCAGCTCAAAGTGACGGACCTACCATTGCTCATTTGCTCTCAGGCAGACCAATCAGATCTGTCCCATTGGACATTTGCTTAGGTCTGTCAGGAGGCTGCTATTTGTTTAGTACAGTAGACTTCCGATAATCCAGCACCTTTTAGACCTATGTGGTGCCGGATTATCAGATTTGCCGGAGAATCGGGAGGTCCGGTACAGCTGCACAATCTCCCTCCTTCTCCTCTCCCCTTTCCCCTTGCAGCTCCTCCATGCTGTAACCTGATCCTCCTCCCCCTCACCTCCCCTTTCCCCTTCGCTGAAGCAAAACGCTCTTCTCCATACTGTAACATGATCCCACTTCCTCCCCCTCTCCCCCAACCTTATGCTCCCTCTGGTTACAGCCAGCACGTGTGCTAAACGGCAGGCTTTTTAATCAGCTGGTCAGGAGCACTTGGCATTTTGATGCCGGAGTATCAGGAGTGCTGAACAGTTGGATGCCGTACTATCGGAGTTTTACTGTATTTGTTAGTAGTGAGAGACTCTAACTAAGAACAAACACCCATTGTGCTAGGTATTGAATAAACTACGAAGAAAACCATTTGCAGCCCCGAAGGTGCTCCCACGTAAATAAATATTTGTCTGGTCGTAAAAGATTGTGTTTGAAAAATCCAAGTAGCGTTGTCTTCCTACCTCAGTTTACTCATCTATGAAATGGGGAAGATGATGCTGACCTCCTTTCTGAAGCCCCTGGACATCTAAAGATGAAAAAACACAGTGAGTGCTAAATATTATTTGCCTTGCAGTGGCATGCAGGGGTTCCAGTCTCCGAACTGGCTCCATTGTGCTAGGCTCAATACAAATACGGGACAGGAAGATAGTCCCTGTCCCAGAAAGCTTGCAATTAAAGTATAAACAGAGACATCAGGAGGAGACAGAAAGAGGGGTGGGCAGTGCTAGGAAACAATGAAACAACATTGATCAGTTTGAAGGGCAGTTTTCCCATTTTATAAAAATGAAAATGTGCCAAGTGATGCGTCTTGGGCTGGGGGCATGTTCATTGATAGAACACTTGCTATCAGCACTAGACAGGTAAGAATTGCTCCTCCAAACAAATCAACATGAGCTCATTCCCTCTCACGTCAGGTGTTGGCCTAAGAAAAGAGATAACTTCCGCTGTGCCCTGAATGATAATTTTAAGGGAATACTTTCCCTGTACACATACCAAAAAAAAAAAAAAAAAACCCCACAATTAACCTGTGGAACTCATTACCTCAAGATAATCATAGGCCCAGGAGGATTAAAAATGATTAGCTATTACTGTGGATAATATCCAAAATTAGTAAGAAATAAAAAAGTAATGAGGAATTTTGGAAGGGCTCTTGTACATTTCAAAGGCTCAGCTGCCGTAGGGAGTGTAGGGCCAGCAGGGTGCTGTGCTTCTGCTTTTGAACTGTAGCAAGAGCCCATCACGGCTAGTTCAAAGGCAGAGGTGCCCTTATAGACAAATCAAATAGTCGATGGAAATCCCATCGACTATTCAATTAGTAAATTAATCTAAATTTAACATCCCTAATTAGGATTCCATGCTCTGTTATGTGGTTATTGCCCCTTACCTTGTAGAAGGGGCATTTACTGACGATCCATCATGATGTCAACTTCAACCCGGTCCTGAACCTAGGCTGGCATGTACGTTATTTGTGGAAAGCAGTTGTTACCAAGATGTTTCTTAATGAAATGTCCTGCATTTCTTGGAGTGATTTTACTTAGAAAAAGTTTCCAGGCCAGAGCGCTCCAACCTGCAGTGGGCGGGGAGCTGGGTGAGTCAGGCCAGACATGAGAGGCAAAAAAGGACAAGTGCCCAGGAGATCCATCCTGGATTCCCAGCAGGGCTGACGTCCCCATGTGGGAGTCCATGTGCGGGACAGAGGGAGGGCTGCCCAGCCACGGTGCCGGACCCAGACGTGGTCAGAGTGAGCCAGTCAGCACCTCTCAGGCTCTGCCCACAAGGCTAAGCAGCCAGCACTTCCTACAATTCCCCAGCGCTCCCTACACCTCCTCCCCGGGGGCTAGAAACACCGACACCCTGTACCCGTCTCTTCCAGCCAGCCCATCTGCTTGCATCTTTCAAAGCTCACGCCGCCTGGAAGACGCCTCGCTGTTGTGGAGCATGTTCCCAGTGGAAACCATGTTCAAACAATCCCACCCGGGGGCCACGTGTTGAGTCCCATGTAAACCCAAACCACACCGCAGGCCACAAACAAATTTTCCACAGGCTGCATGCAGCCCATGGGCCGCATGTTGAGTAGCCCTGTCTTAGACACTAATCGGTTTATTTACTAATATTTATTATTTAGCTTATGCCCTAATAAATCTGTTGTTCACTAAGGTGCCACAGGACTTCTCGTTGTTTTAGCTGGAGCTAGTGAATTCCAATCAAGAAACTTCCACTGAGAATGCCCTGTCCCCAAGTGGTTAAATCGAGGCTCGGTTACCCTGCAAGCCTTAACTGCCATAGCATATCATGGGGAAGAGTCTGACTTGCCAATAGCCCGGACCCAAGAATTTGCACTAGTTTTGTAAATTCTTCTCCGACACTTTGCTTGAATGCCTAAGTCATCATAAATTGTAAAATGAGAAACCCTGTTGCAATGGTTGTCAAATGCACAATAAAGAATTCAATAAGAAGGGAAGGTTGCACTGCTTCTTCTTATTGCTTGAGCTATTCTGTGCATCAACAGAGGAGGTAGGGTCTGCACATTACCAGATCCTCAGCACTTGATTCTCTCTATAAAAGTTTTTAATTTCATAGATTCTAACTCTCATTTGTGACAGATCCCATTTACAGAGCTACCTCTGTTCAAAGAGGCCTTTCTTTACACTTACTTTGAAGCCTCTTTATGTTTGCAGAGCAGAAATGAAAATTAACCCCATCATCACTAATCATTAGCTGTCTTTGCAAATGGAACCGGCATGCCAGGCAATGCAGACCAAATCATCAGCTCTGAGTTGCACTGAGGCATGACTACACTTACCATGTTGGAGATTGATCTTCTGGTGCTCAATTTAGTGGGTCTAGTAAGAACTAGCTAAATCAAATGCTGAGGGCACCCCTGGGTTGACACTGGTACACCTTGATTTGTGAGGAATAAAGGAAGTCATTGGGAGTGTTTGCTTCTGCCGCTCTCCCACTGTGAAGGCGACACCAAGCTCAGCTTAAGGTCCGTTGTCTGAAGCTACGTTATTTATATAGTTGGAGTTCCATACCTTAAGCTGACCTTCTGGATGTGGTATAAACCTGGCCCGGGGTAAATCCAAAGGGACTCCACTGTGGTGACTCCAGACTTGTCAGTGTTAAGAGCGCTGAAACAAGAAAACCACGTTTAGGGCCAACTCCTCCGACTCCACCATGTTTTTGCCCTCCATTTCTCAGTCTCCTTACTAAAGCCACTGGCATGAAAACAAGTGGCTTACACTATATCTGGTCCTACTGCTGGTTCCCCTCCAGGTCACTTGTCATTCTCTGGCTGTGACATCATAATTGTGCCACATCAGCGGACAGCTGTTACGTTACAGGCAGGGAATTTGCCTTTCCTCAAGACGTGGTTATCGTTTCCTTTGTATGGAAGTTTCAGAAGAAAGACTTCTTAAATATGTATAATTATATGAAACATATAAAACTTTATATATTACATGTATTCATCTGGGTCCTAAAGGTAAAGACCTGCAAATCTGTGGATATCCACTTCATATCCACAGGTATCCACATCTATGGATGTGCATGTGGATATCCCTGGCTCATTTTTGCAGATAGGGAAGCAGATGCAGATACAAATGTACAGCATTCTACAGTAGTCTACTTACAGCAAAACCACATATTGATTTGATCCTATCACCTCTCATAAACAGAGTGGGGACAAGTCAGTTATTTGAATGGGAGACCATTCAGTGTGGGACTCAAGCTTGTAAGGAGGTTCTTTATTCGAGGCCAATAGGACTACTCAAGAGAACAACTCTTTTTGCAGCCCCAGACTCCATGGCTTGGAAGCCCACGCTTTTAGCCCAAACCAAGCTGTATTGGCCAAGAGAGCAGTCAATGGATTTTATTGCCTGTGATCATTAAATATCCTGATGGCACTTTAGTTACTGTAAATATCCAAATGAATACATTTCTCTGGCTAACTACTTTGTTATTTGCATTAAAATAGCAAGTGAGGGCCAGCCCACTGTGCTAGGCATTCTATAACCATAGAGTAACGAACAGTCCCTGTCCCAAATACCTTAGTATTTAAATAGACAAAAAGTAGGAGGGGAAATAAAGACAGCAGGGGCTGGCCTCGAGGACCTCCTGAGGTCTCTTGCAGCCCTATGATTCTATGATTCTAAGGCTATGTCTAGACTGCAAGCCTCTTTCGAAAGAGGTCTAGACTGCACAGAGAAATTTCGAAAAAGCGGCTTGCTTTTTCGAAAGAAAGCATCCAGTGAGTCTGGATGCTCTCTTTCGAAGAAGCCCTATTTACATTGAAGAACGCCTTCTTTCGAAAGAGGAACTTTTGAAAGAAGGCGTTCTTCCTCATGAAATGAGGTTTACTGCCATCGAAAGAAAAGCCGCGTTCTTTCGATTTAATTTTGAAAGAACGCGGCTTGAGTCTGGACGCAGGGGAAGTTTTTTCGGAAAAAGGCTACTTTTCCCGAAAAAACCCCTGAGTCTGGACACAGCCTAAGTGACTTGCCCAAGGACATAGAATAGGTCTCTGGCAGAGCCAGAAATAGAAATCCTTTCCCTGAACTGCTCTATGTACAAAAGTTTCAGAGGGGTAGCTGAGTTAGTCTGTAGCTGGAAAAAATTAAAAAACAATAAATAATCTTGCAGCACCCTGAAGTGGGTTGTGCCCACGAAAGCTCATGGTGCCAGCTACATGTGTCGTTAGTCTACAAGGTGCTGCAAGATTATTTATTGTTTTTTACATTTTGCTCTATGTATATTCTTCCCGCAGTTTTAATTGGCTCTACGTTTCATGTCAGAAATTGGGTTTCACTCCAGAGGGGGCTGCATTTCAATGACAGACAGAAGGATCGGAGCCTATATTTTAGGTTTTTTTACATCAGCTTGTATTTTACTTTACAATGAAAGAAAACTGTTATACATTTACTAACATGATAATAGCTACCTAAATACAGAGAAAGGCAGTAGCCTAATGCACCTCGGATGAAATTCACTCCCCATATAGAAAGTTGGTGAAAAGTCCATGTGCCACTTAAGTCCTCCTGCACGCTTTTGGAATAGTGCCCCCTGCCCTCCCGAAAACTATGGAACTATATCACCCTGAAGTACAAACTAATATAACTGAGCTTTTAGTCCCTCACTGGAGTATAGAACAGTTCTGCATCTTCTACCACCCACAGAGCTATGGGCATTGCAAGCAGGATAGCCTCATGCTTTCAGATGCCGTGGTCTCAGACTTTTCAGATGACCAATGCAGAAGTATCACCGTCATTACTGTCTTATACTGAGTAATAAACTTCCCCGGGAGTACTCAGTGTTGTGGAGAACCTTGCTGACCCCACTCCTTCTCATGTGGAAGCCTTGACTATCCGTTCAAGGGGCCAGCTGCCCAATTCTCCAAACACAGCACAACAAACATGTCCTGCATACAGGCTAGATACAGGCAAACTCCAACACCTGAAAGTTCAGAGCTTCCCTGTAGCATGTCCAGCCCTTTACCCACCAGACACACTCAGAATTATCAGATCCTTGGATTCAACAGGACCCGCTTGCTAGTTACGTCTTAGAACACAGGTCTTCTTCACACCCAGCACTAGAACAAGATTTCTCCATCCTGCTGTTGACCTCTTCCAGTTAATTTTCCTTCTCAAGTCCCCACAATCTCTTCATCAGCATTGGACTCAAGGTACAAAATAGACTTCTATTGTAAACCACACAATGGTCAGCTAGGACTAAAAGTTTCCCACCTGCTGTTGATGGAGTCTGTCTCAAGGCACACTGTCTCTTGGTGACCTGTCATACACTGCCAGGCCTTAAGAATGTCATTCTTAAATTAATAGTAATAACACATGGATTTCACAACGATTATGACTACCAGTGTGATACCAGCTTTCAGCAGATACCTGACATAACAACATACTTTGGGGAACTAGAAAGTAAATACTGGGTCATGGAGATCCTTGTAATTTTGATGCGCTTCTATGCCATTTTCAACTTGGCATCAAGAGATCCTTGGGTGTCAGATACATATTTTCAATCAGCATAGTATCTTAAGGAAAGGCTACTCTTTGTACTCATGACACACAGTGGAAATTAAGGCTCCTAGACAAGACTCCATAAGAAGAGAGAAGGGATCTCTACTAAGACATATTAACAAAATAATATGAGTCTTTGCAAAATAATATGCACAGGAGCAATGTTTGCCCTTCCCCCTCTTTATATTTATATGTTTGCTAGAGGAAATACTCTGCTATTCAAAAACAGTGTGAAATTGCCCATTCAGTTTCATCCTGCTGGACTGAAGCTAATACTAAACAACCAAACCATTGGTTATGCAGAATTATATGTAGTTAGAAAATACTGTCTTTTAGTGTCCTGCTGAGTATTTTTGTTTGGTGTGAAACAACCATATGATCTCGAAGATATCATCTCAGGTGAATCCTGAAGCAACTGTTACATAGAAATCATAAACAATCAAACAACACTTTGTAATTTAATTGTTGGATTCATGTCCCTTTTTGTATCAAATTAAACCCACCACCAGCACCACAACTAATTCGAGTGGATGCACATCCCTCTGCCAAAGGAAAAAGAAAAATGTTGCTTGTCCCTAACCTTTTCCATTTTTCATGACAATCACTGCATTTCCCCCCCGATTAAAACACAAACAAGTCAATGTAAGAATGCCTGGCAGGCTAAGATGATTATGGGATAATTTGTGTTTGCAAGACCAAACAAAATCAATCACTGTTGTTAAGGGACAAACAGCATTAAATGGTGGTGAAAGGATATTTGTTGGATTTCTACAAAATAGTTTTTTCCAGCTCTGTCTGATAAGGGATGGGCTGGCTAATACCCTGAGCTGGTTTTTGTAATTTTCCAATTTATACATTTTCTGTATCAGTTGTGGATGGAATAAAAAAGTCCTCACCGCATATATATACAATGAGAATGTTTTTATTAACAACATATAAAATATATATAGTTTATATCTTATCCTGTTCATTAGAAATATACCCAATGTATTTCTAATGAAAAGGATAAGAAAGTTGAAAGAAGATGTAGCAGATTCAGGTAACAGGATCAATTTAGTCACAGTTACAACAGGGCAAAGCCCAAGTAACAACTTCAAAGCAATTAACCCTTTAATCTCAATTCCAAATTGTAAGACAGTTAACAATCCCTTATGGGATGGCGGCCCTATTTAGTTGTCACACTGGGGACCGAACTGGGGACCTTCAGAGCTATAAACACAAAGTGCTACAGCTTGAGCTAAAAAGCCCAGTCTCCCTGAATGGAACTGTATCAGAGTCAGATCTTCTACGGGTGAAAGGGGTTGTGTAGCACATATTCACCAGAGGGTTGCACATGCTGTTATCAATGTGAAGTTCAGAAATTTAAAGGCAGACACAGAACATAAAAGGATCTTCCTACGGTCACAGATCATTGCCATTTTTTCTCAGAGCTAGAACAGGGGGCACTCACTCTCCATGCTTTCTCCTGGAGATATCCCTGATGTTCTGTTTAGATTCCACCTCATCTTCATCCCTGTACTTCGACTGAAAGGCTAGCGCTGCTCTTTGCTCATGGAAAATCATAAGCATTGACACCACAGCAACACAGAAGAATATGGCCTGGCGAAGAGGCCCTTAATCAATTTCAATTTTTAATCCTGGCTGGAAAGCAGAAAGAAACAAAAATCAGACCTAACAAGATGCTTTAAAGGTTTGGTTTGAAGCTTACTTCTAAATATGGGCAGAGGGTTGGTTGCTTCTCCCATTTCATCCCTACTAATTTATCCTTCGTTAATTTCAATACCTGTATAAATCACAGCCCATGGCACCCTGTGGTTTTGTGTTTGGCACTCACCAGTAATAAAATTGTACATAATGAAGGGACTTCTATGTCCATGAGAAGGGAAGGACCAGGAGCTCAGTAATATACCTGGTTTAATTATTTATAGCAATGTTTGATGCTCTCATTATTGGGTCAGGCATGACCTCTGGGTAACAGCTTCATCTTTCTAGAATAATAAGTTATTGTGACACAGATAACTTTGGCAATTATTCCATCTTTGGTGCCATAGAGAATGAGGGTTTTTTTTAAAGTTGAGGAAATAGGTTGCTTGTAACACATATAAGTGTTCTCTAAAAAAAACAGACAGAATCTTTATACTCATGAGGCCAATTATTGTTTCTTTAGTAAA